GTTTTTGACTGGAAGGCTTTTTTTCCTAAATTTGGGATTTTTTAGGTTTTGGGCATCAAAACCCAAAAAACCCCCCAGAAGGGAGGGGGGGTTGGGAATTTGGGGAATTGAAATTCCACACAGCTTAAAGTTACCAAGTTTGAGAAACACTGCTGTAAGCTATAAGCTACAAGGTTACATACACTATTTACTAGTGCTGTGCAAACTATAAATCTGAGCCGTTGTCTTCAGTTTGAAAGATTGTTTCAAGTTTGGAGTGGTTTCTTTGAGAGTAAAAGTGCTGTTTCTTGAAACGACTGTTTCAAACTCAAAGCAGGGCACTTCAGATTCAAAATGTGTTGACTGAAAAAATTGTATACCATTATACATATCCATAATGGGCCAACTGCCTAAAATAAAAACAAATTAAACCTCCAAAAAACATAATCTGACTTGTTCTTACGTACAACCAAATCAAAATAATTAATCTTTTTTAACAAATATGAATTTGGCATATGTTTTATTGAAGCTTATTTCCTGCCCTTTGTTATTTGTAGACAGAGGTCTAATTTAGTTTATTTCTAACCATCCCCTGCTTCCTCCCCCCATTTTCTCAGTCACTGCTTCTCACTTGCCATTTTGAAGAGAATTTCCTAGCCTGGTAATTAGGCTTAGAAAAAACTCCCATTGGCACCCAAGGGGGATTTTTTTCTCCTAATTGCTGCACAGTTAGGAAATGATTCTCATCAGAATCACAGGATGCAGGAAGATTTAAATTACCCCTCCCCTGCCATGAACTGCATCCTATTGGGCTTAGGAAAAGAACAGCAATGTCGTCTATTATTTATTTGTTTTTTAAAAAAAGGCTTACAGAAGAAGGAAATGGGTCAAGAAGCTGAAGCTGAAGTCCATATTAGAATCTAGTGCAGACTGGAGCTTTCCTATATTTGGTACTGTATTGTCCTTCAGAAAATGGGAAGCTTCAAAATAGAGGGAACAAATTTTGGGATAATACGTTTGTGCCTTAGGACAGATGAATCCTCAGTTAGTCTTTTTTAATTTAAAGGATGTTTATCCAGTTGTCTCTAATGACAGTGATGCTGGTTCAGGCTTGTCTGCCATTGTAGATATGATTCCATAGCAATAGGATGAAAGGGCACCATTATATGTTACAGCAGAATCTGTACAGCACTGTATAGAATTCTGCATGGGAATTTATATTATACCAGGTCAACTATATCTCTGTCTCATACAGCACTGTATAACCTATGATGGCCCTGTTGCATCTTTAGCAGAGATTTTTCACCCTGTAGTACACAGCACTACAGAACTTATCTTTTTACCTGGAGATGATAGGGATTGAAGTTAGACCTTTTGCACATATACAAAGGTTGTTTCTATTTCTGAGCTATAATTCCTTCCCAATCAGTGCTAATAATTTGTTTTAAAAATGTCTGCAATGGGCGTTGGAGGGGCAAACGACAAAAACAGCATCATGCAATCATACCATAAGCTCTGCTCCTTTTGTATGTGTGTTGTGATGCTGGGGATGGATGGATGGATGGATGGATGGATGGATGGATGGATGGATGGATGGATGGATAGATAGATAGATAGATAGATAGATAGATAGATAGATAGATAGATAGATAGATATGAATGAAAGGGGCCAAGCTTGCACTGCTTTGGTCATTTGCCCATCCAAGTTGTGATACTACTTATGTAATTTTGACAAAAGCATTGGATTCTGTGAATACCTGTGCCTGAGGATAAGAAAATATTTGAACTGGAAGTCAGTTCTTTTGGTTCCAGATTATAAATGATGCCAAGATTGATGAAATCACCATCTGTTTAACTAGTAAGAAATTCTTTTGCATGTGAACTTTATTCTTAAAAAATATTTATTATGTGGGTTAATGAGTCAACTTCTAATTATTGGAATCTGATAGAAAAAAGCGATGAGTCATAATATTTCACTCTACCTAAATCTGTTTTAGAAATTAGGATCCTAGTTTCCCCAAGTATTGGTCTGAGTCAACTGGGTTTGCAGACAGAAAAAAAACCCTGACTTTGAAACTGACCCTTGGTTTTAATACAAGATACTTTATTGGTAACTCATAAGAGATAATTTATGTGTGAGATTCATGCAAATTTCTACCTGCAAATGGATTTTGTGTAGGAATATAATATTGGTTGAACCAGCTCTAGTTTATATTACAACTTTATTATTAACATGTAGCAAAATGGTTAACCTCAGGTAATATTTACTTATTTATTTATTCAATTTATATGGCTGCCCATTTCAAATACATGACTCTGGGCAGCTAACAGTGAATAAAAACAAGATAAAAACATTATAACAAAGTAATAAATATGTACATACACATATCAACACAGCAGCAAAGATAAAAAGCCAACCAACAACAATTAACACAGCCATGATATGGGCTCAGTCATACACCCAGGGCCCCAGGCTCAGTAACAAAATCAGGTCTTTGAGGCCTTATGGAATGTCAGCAGGGTCATGGCAAGTCTAGTCTCCAAGGGAATGATGGTCCAGAGGGCAGGTGCCACAACAGAAAAGGCTCTCTTCCTGCCAGATGACATTCCCTAATACATGGGACCTAGGGCATGCCTCTCCTGCCAGATCTAACTGGATAAGTAGATACAACCAGGGAAAGACAGTTCCACAGGTAACCCAGCCCCATCCCTGGCTATATAGATAACTACCAGCACCATGAATTGAATTTGGAAGCATATTGACAACCAATGCATTTTGCAAAGCAGAGGTGTCACATGTATGAAATGAAATATAACTGCCTGCACTGCTGCATTCTACACCAGCTGAAACTTCTGAATACTCTTCAAGGGCAGCCCCATGTAGAACACATTGCAGTAGTCCAATCGGGAGGTGACCATGGCATGAGTTACCATGAGCAGAACTTCCTAGTCCTGGAATGGGTGCAGTTGGTCCACAGCATGTAGCTGTGTAAAGGCCCTTCAAGCCATGCCTGTCACCTGCTCTTTGAGCAGGAGCGATGTGTCCAAGAGGACCCCCAAACGTCTCACAGATTCCATTTGGAGTAGCACAACCCCATCCAGAGCTAAAGATGAAAGGCCCTCAGAACCAGGGTGTCCTAAAACCTAGAGCCACTTGGTCTTGCTAGGGTTGAGTTGAAGCCTGTTGTTCCCCATCCAGACTCCCACAGCCTCCAGACACTGAGACAGAACATACATGGCAGAGCATCACTTGGACAAGCCAGGGTGGAGATATAAAGCTGAGTTTCATCTGATGATACCTCACCCTGAACTGTCGAATTACTCTACCCAGCAGCTTCATGTAGATGTTAAGCAGGAGAGGAGAGAGAACTGAACCCTGTAGCACCTTACAAACCAGGGGCCACAGGGTGGATCTCTCCCCCACCATCAACACCACTGGAACCAGCACTGGAGGAAGGAGGAGAACCAGCACAACATGGTGCTGCCCACTCCAAATCCCCTGAAGCTGGTCCAGAAGTAGACCATGATTGCTGGTATCAAAAGCTGAAAGGTTAAGAGGAGCAAGGACAAATGCTTCATCCCCATTCCGCTGCTACCAGAGATCATCAAGAAGCGCAGTCAATGCTGTCTTGGTCCCATATTCAGGTCTGAATTCTAAATGAAAGGGGTCCAGATAATCCACTTCTTTTAGAGTCCTCTGGAGCTGCCATAGAGCTACCTTCTCTACATACATCCCCTAAAAAGGAAGGTTAGAAACTTGATGAAAATCATCCAGAATGGTTGGGTCTAGTGATGGACTGTTGAGGAGCCAGTGGAACCACCCCTTCTCTCAAAGAGAAATTTACTACTGCCAAGAGCCAACCTCATGCAACCCCGCAGGAGGCCTTAGCCAAGCAGGAGGGACATAGATCTAAAACAGGTGGCTGAGCTAACAGTCTCAAGAAC